TCTCCTCCAATGTCAGCGCCTAGGAGGAACCTAGTGCACATGTGTGGCGAGTTTTGCAAGTCGCTGGATGTCTTCATGCAAAGCATGAGCACATCTAGTGTCGTTTCATGGAGTTAACATCCATGAAACAGCAGGGAGCACCTCTAGTGGCTGTCTGAAAGAGAGACACTAGAGGCAGGCTCAACCCTACATGGTAAACATTGCAGTTTCAGTTTTTCTAAAACTACAGTGTTTTACATAGCAAGGATAAGGGAACAGGGATACTGCACCCAGACCACTTCAATGAGCTGAAGAGATCTAGGTGCCTAAGGTGTCCCTTTAAGATATAACCTTGAGGGGGAGGGGGTGTTTTGGGGATGGGGAGGCAGGGGTGAGTGAGGTGTGGGGGGGGCCTTTTCGGGCGGCGATGATTGGCCTCATTGAAGTCTATGGTGCCAGCGCAGTTCTTGTTAGCCATTGGTACCATATTTTGTGGTAAGAGTTTGTGGTGTCATGGATTAAGGCTGGCAATTTGTCCATTTCAATTGTTTCTTCTATTTTTCGTAGTACTTTCGTTGTGGAAGGGGCGATGTTGTTTCCCCAGTGTCTGGCTATGGTTCTCCGGGTGGCCAGTGCGACTCAAGCTGTGAGTTTATTTTGGCAGCTGTATTTTTTTATGCTTTGTCTTTCAGCAAATACTTTGGGGTGCCTTTATCACTCCGTTACACATAAGGAATGTTATTGGCTTTTGTGTCATATTTAATATATATCCTGTGATGTCAGCAAGGGGCTTCTCAACCGTGTCAGGAATGCAGAGGTCAGATTTCAAAAAATACATACTTCTTGACTTATTTATTATTTGGAAACATGTAGCTAGGACTGCCATTTACTGTGTGTGCTGAAAGAGCTTGGATATTTGCAAAAAGCCCAATATAACTGATGCCTGGACTGGAATAAGAGAAAGGAACTTGAAAATGTTGTAAAGCTTTGGAAAAACACAAGAGACCACTGCAAAATTATCACTTTCTCTGGTTTTACTATTTACATGTATATTTCTGTGAAAAATGAACATTTCTGTTTAATTCTATAAACTGCTGACAACATTTTCCAAATGTCCAAATACAAATATTATTATATTCTTTGCAGAAAATGACAACTGGTCAACAACAGATGCAGTGTTTTCAGACAAAGCAAGTTCATATTCATTTTAAACAACACAATACTAATGTTTTAACTTAGTAATAGTTCAGAAATCTATGTTTATTGGAATAACTCTTATTTTCAATCAGAACTTTCATTGCCCTTGGCATACTTTACACCAGTCTTTCACATTTCAGTTGGGTAACGTTATGCCATACCTGGGGCAAAAATTGAAGCAGTTCAGCTTTGGTTTATGGATTGTGACTATCCATCTTCCTCTTAATTACATTCCATAGGTTTTTTAAAAATGGTTCAAATTTGGAGATAGGGCTGGCCATGACAGGTTGGCCCTCCATCCACACCTTGATTGACCTGGCTGTGTGGCATGGAGCATTGTCAAGATGTAAAAAAACCAATCCTCAGAGTTGGGGAGCATTGTCAGAGCAACAGTTTACTTTAAAGATAACCTTGTACATGGCTTTTAAGGCACTCCAGGTCTTCATTTAATCATTAGATGACCAGGTGTTGGGCAAAGCTGTAAACTTAACTAATTAGAGAAGATGACCTTACTCCATTCCTCTATGGTCCATTCCTTGTGGTCTTTTGCAACATCTCCTTGGAGCCTGTTTTGCACTTTACACTAGCTGCCATTGACATTCTTTATGTAGGCTACTTGATGTTACTTGATGTTATCCTATGGTTGTTTATTGAAATTCAAATTAGTTGGCAGTCATCTCGCTCAGTTGAAAGTAGTTTTTGCCCTGAAGCTTTGTTGTCCCTAATATCTACTGCTTGCTTTTGCTCTTATGAACTGCTGTTTTACATTTTAAGGATGAATGCAATCTGAATCACTCAATAAAGCCAGAATGAAACCTTACTTCCCTCACTCAAAACCTTTTCTTTCAACTCTTTTGGCATGGTCAATAATTATTTATATTACATTACTTTTGCCATTCTAATGACCTACTGCAAAAGGATAGTGCTGACCACTGCAGTGGTTTTTATACCTTTCCTCATTAAATATGATTTGGTTCAGTTGATCACCTAATCAGTCCTTCATTAACTAGAATGAGGTGTGCCCGTGTTGGAATTCAACGGATGCTGGGTGTGCCTATGGCTGCCATACATGTAAAGATGCTGATTCAAGAACAAAAAAAATGGATTGGTTTCTTAACTTTTTCCAGAGCTGTACCTGATGCGGAAACCTGGGTTAGCTGTATGCAGTATCTGATCAATTGCGTACGTGACAATTCTTATATACATCTGTAACCTATTTAAAGGCATCGATACATATTACTTACTCAGCATGTTCCTACTCATGGCTAATTTGTTAACTGACATTTATTAGAATGTTTTTAGTACACAGAAACATTTAGAAACAAATAATAAGGCAAGTAACTCAAGGTCAAGCCCAGGCTCACTAAGACATTTTATTTTATTAATGTTTAGTATTTAATAATATACATATATTGAAAATGGTCTACGTGTAATTTTTTTAAAGGGGTATGCAAATTAATGACATGCCCATCTCTGGGCAGACCAGATTCCTTTCTCACATTAAACACCAGTCTTTGAAACTAATATTAAACGCTTGGTGTGCAATTAATGACAACCATCTGGAGTAAAACAGGACCAGAAATGGCAGCGAAAATGTGTGCAGTCTGTGTGAGTCAGAGCAGTCTGAGAATCCAGCACAGATGCTGAGAGCAAAGATGGGGCTCTGGACTCCGCACTATTCCCCATCCCAAAGCACATTTAAAGCGAAATACTTTCTAAAGTGCTTTGCTTTAACAGAATGCCCCACTGCTCCATACTGCCACTTTAACCCCCTCCCCCCATTTTGTCACTTTATAAACGATCCAATTTACTCATTGCTGGGCAGCACAATGGGGCATGAGTATTTGAGTGACTAGGAGAATATAAAAAATTACAGGTAATTACAGGTTACAGGTATGTTTATCAATAATTATATTATAATATTATTTTACAAACACTTTATAAGAAAGGGGGGTCAGAGGACACCACAAATGTATTATAAATATATGTATATATTTAGAACACCGGAGTGTGTACACAGTAGAATGAGTTTAAAGGAACGCTATAAGCACCAAATCAACTTTAGCTTAATTAAGCAGGTTGGTTCAAAAATCATACCCCTGCAGTCTCACTGCTCAATTCTCTGCCATTTAGTAGTTAAATCACTTCAGTTTCTGTTTATGCAGTCCTAAACACACACATCCCCTGGCTTTGACTCACACGGCCTTCATGAAAAAATGGTTTCATTTTCAATCAGATGTTAACTTGCTTTACAAGTTTTTATCATCTGCTCTGTAATTTGAACTTTCATCACACACAGGAGGATCTACATGATCTAGAGCAGGGGTTCTCAACCCAGTCCTCAGGACCCCCTACCAGTCCAGGATTTGGGGATTACCTGGGTGTGTCTCAGGTGTTTAGAAAAAGGGAGAAAAAAAAACACCTTAGACTCTAAGGTGTTTTTTTTCTTCTTTTTCTAAACACCTGAGACACACCCAGGTAATCCCTAAACCCTGGACTGGTAGGGGGTCCTGAGGACTAACGTTGAGAACCCCTGATCTAGAGGGCTATTAACATAGTTAGTACTCTATAAATAAAGTGACTTAACTTCTAAATGGGAGATAATTGAGCAGTGAGACAGCAGGGGCATGATCTATGCACCAAAACATTAAGCTAAAGTTGATTTGATGCCTACAGTGTCACTTTAACAATATTAATAATTGTGTGGCCAAATAAGTTAAGCATTAAAACCAATGGAGGATTTTGAAGGTATCAAAGATGTTGTTTAACAAGGGGTACTTTAAGCATGAACTGTATTGTTGTAAAAATGTAGGAACAATCATAATAGTTATTAGTGATAAACAAGTGTAGATACTAGTATTCTGGAGGGGAGAGAGATTATTTTAGAACAAAGTGTGCAAATCTCCACATAACTATTCAGATGTAGTGGTTTTGGAGTGTTCCTTTAACTGACTGATACGTTTTATTCTTATTTCTATATTTCACAACTATATGTTTGTGAGGTGTAAAATGAAAATTAAAACTAAATGTAAAATGCCACTCTTTTCCACCCTGCAACTGAGGTCTTAGCTCCCTGTCAATCATTGTTATAAATTCTGTATTTTGCACTTGGCAGTCAACATAGAGAGAACATACAAAAAGGAGCTGGAATTAAACAATGCTTCAGTTTCTTTTCTTCATTTACAATGTTTGCCCTGGCTTTCCTTTGCCTGAAATGGATTATACTGTAAATTGCTAAATCTTTCACATAAAATTAAAATAAAACAGAACATCTGATCAAGAAAGGGTTAGCACGCTATTGGTGATTTTCAATGTTTTATTCACTGGTTAAATTCCAGGGATTTAACAGTTTCCCTCTAACAAAGCATGTTGATTAGACTCTTTGCACTCTCAGAGGGATATCTATTGCTCTAAGACAGGCATTGCTGCTACTCCCACCTTCACTTCCTTTCTATCCCTCTGCTCCTAGCAGCTGGTGATGTCACTCCAAACCCCGGTCCTATCTCGGCAAACCCACCACTTACTAACTCAAGGAACCACACCAATCTCATACCCATCTCATGGTACTCTTCCTCTAAATCCTCCTTCAATACTGCCCTCTGGAATGCACGCTCTGTTTGCAATATTACAAAATCCACTGCTGTCCACGACCTCTTCATCTCTCATTCTCTAGATTTACTAGCCTTAACAGAAACATGGCTCTCTCCCTCTGACACTGCTACTCCTGTAGGGTTTCTCCTCTCACCTCACTGCTCCTTCAAATCTCTACCCACTCCCTCTTCCCTCTGTTTCTCATCATTTGAAAATTATTCAATTCACCTCTTCAAACCCTTCTCTGCTAATATTGCCGTTATTTATTGCCCCATTGGTTCCCCTCTCCTCTTCCTTGACCATTTTGCTGCCTGGCTACCCTACTGTAAGGTTTCGACCAGTGTTGTCTTTATCAAGCTTGATAAAGACCACACTGTTCGAAACATTGCTTTGTACATTCTGGTGACAATAAATTGCCTGAAATTGAACCTTTGGAGTGCCCTTATCCTTTCTTTTGAAGTATTACATTTGGGATTTGGTGCTGAACCCGGATCTGGTTGCACCCTGGTTCTAAGGTTGGAAGATTGAGTGCAGTTCCTGTGTTACATTGTGGCTACCCTACAGTGACAGACCACCTGGCACCCGGACTGGGTACCTCCGCAAATCAATGCTTACTAGCTGACGCTGAGGACCATAAGCACCACACCGGACACCATAAGCACTGTAGACCCCACGAACCGCCGCAGCTTGGTTGGGGTCTCACCGTCTGTCCTTGGTCCCCTTCTATTTTCTCTTTATACTGCCTCTCTTGGCAAACTTATTACCTCATTTGGATTCCACTACCACCTGTATGCTGATGACACCGAGACATATCTCTCCTCTCCGGACCTCTCCCCTGCCGTCCTGCAACGTGTCACTGCTTGCCTTTCTTCCATCTCTGACTGGATGTCCTCCCGCTTTCTGAAACTCAATCTCTCTAAAACTGAGCTCCTTGTCTTTCCTCCTCCTAATACTGATCCTCCTCTTTCACTCTTCCTTCACGTTAGTGGTATCCACATATGTCCATCCTTGCAAGTGCGCGGTCTTGGCATCATACTTGATTCTGGTCTCACCTTTGAGCCTCACATCCCGTATGTTGCCAAATCCTCTAGATTCCATCTTAAAAACATAGCCCGCATCCGCCCCTTTCTTAACCAAGATGCTACCAAGGATCGTGTCCATGCTCTAGTAATTTCCCACATGGATTATTGTAACCCTCTCCTAATTGGTTTTCCCAAAAGCTGTATTGCACCACTACAGTCTGTAATGAATGCTGCCGCCAGACTAATTTTCCTCTTTAGTCGGTCCTCTCACACCTCACCCCTCTGTCAGTTCTTACATTGGCTTCCTGTATCCTGTAGGAGTCAATTCAAAGTTCTAACCCATACCTATAAAGTACTGAACAATTCAAGCCCCTCTTATATCTCTTCACAGATCCACAGGTATGTCCCTTCTCGTTCCATCCACTCTACCCGTGACCTTCTCCTGTCCGCTGCTCGGACCCATACGGCCAACTCACACTTGCAGCACTTCTCGCGGGTGTCTCCCTTCCTATGGAATAGCCTGCCTACCGCCATCAGACTCTCCCCTAGTCTTCAATCGTTTAAAAAGTGTCATCTTTAGGAAAGTTTGCCCTCTTTAGGAAAACTTATGGCCTCCCAGACTAACCTCTACCTCACATACCTGTCTCTTGCTCTCTCCTAAAGGGCAGCACGCTACTCTCTCCTCCATCTCTGCTTTACTCCCACCTTATTTGATTGCTGTTTCCTGTCCTTATGTGTTTTACACCCCACCTCCTATAGACTGTAAGCTCGTTTGAGCAGGGTCCTCTTCAACCTATCGTTCCTGTAAGTTTTCTTGTAATTGTCCTATTTATAGTTAAATCCCCCCTCTCATAATATTGTAAAGCACTATGGAATCTGTTGGCGCTATAGAAATTGCAATAATAATAATACACTAACCAATTACTGAATGCGGTTGCATGGGATGAAGGGGAATATGATGCGCCTCTTCCTTCCTCTGGAGGCCCATTGAAAACTTGGATACTCACATAGTAGTTAAAGTGGATTAGTCATTTTCGCCAGTCTTGGCATATTTTGGCCGTGGTGTTGCAACACTGTGCAATAGAATTAAGGTGTACTTACTTACCCTTGTGTCAGCTGCATTCTTCTTTCTGGTTACCTTCTTTGGCTATTGGTGTTTCATTTGCCATATCCAAATCAGTGCAGTAATTTTGCAGATGCAAGGACTATGGAGGACCCTACGAGTCTCCACAGTTTACATCATGAGAAGAGCAAGACAATGTCTGATTTGACTGTTGTGATTTGATAGATTTGGCATTGGAGCGCCGCCTTGTGTAAACTTTAGCTTACCTCAGGTTTGCCCATTAGACAATTGAATCTTATGGAATCTATGGATTGCAATGGAATTTCAATTAAAGGACCACTATAGTGCCAGGAAAACATACTCGTTTTCCTGGCACTATAGTGCCCTGAGGGTGCCCCCACCCTCAGGGTCCCCCTCCCGCCGGGCTCTGGGGAGAGGAAGGGGTTAAACACTTACCTTGCTCCAGCGCCGGGCGGGGAGCTTTCCTCCTCCTCTCCTTCTTCCTAGCGACGTCATCGGCCGAATGAGCATGCGCGGCAGAAGCCACGCGCGCATTCAGCCAGTCTCATAGGAAAGCATTCATAATGCTTTCCTATGGACGCTGGCGTCCTCTCACTGTGATTTTCACAGTGAGAAGCACGCAAGCGCCTCTAGCGGCTGTCAATGAGACAGCCACTAGAGGCTTTAGAGGCTAGATTAACCCTCAGTGTAAACATAGCAGTTTCCATGAAACTGCTATGTTTATTTAAAAAAATGGGTTAATCCTAGCTGGACCTGGCACACAGACCACTTCATTAAGCTGAAGTGGTCTGGGTGCCTATAGTGGTCCTTTAAGTTCCAATGCAGTCAGATGAGTATTTCAGAAAGATTATAAGCTCATGAAATACTCAGAAGTGACAGAGCCACTAAAGAATCACTACTATAGGTAATTAAAGAATATGCTTTAATTTCCTTACATAATAACTTTTTATACATATTTACTTAAATATTGACAGGATTACTGTGAACTGTCTAACCAGTATGAAAAGGGAAATGAAAGGTTATTAGTACATAACACTCATGTTTTCTATTGACTCAACATTTTGTGACATTCCCAATGTCACGGAAAAGTCAGCAGTGTTGAAATAGCCCCAGCAGTATTTTCCGCATTTCCTGAAACTTTCCGAGAAGATGGTGGAGCAGTTTAGTGACGAGATTCTATCACAACATTGCTGGGAGACTGAAACCATTACACAGAGGAAGGCTTTAGTTGCACATAGGAAACAAGGCATGTTTGCACACAAAGCTGAGAAATCTGGCTGTTCTCTACTCAGTTGTTCACATTATAAGGAATGACAGAGCTTGGCCAAACAGCGTAGGGGGAACTTGACGAGAGGTTGACTTGGCAGACAGAATAAATCCTATGATTAGTGATGAACGCGCTATTTTTGTACAGTCACATCATGCTTGCTAACAGGAAACTGTATGATAACTCACATTTTCTTTCGGCTGGGAAGATGATACTAATTTGTACTTTTTCACAGTTAAATTACTTCACTAATTTGTGAGATTTTACTAATCCATAGGTTCACACATTCTCCTAGGGCAGGCATAGGCAACATTTGGCACTCCAGATGTTTTGGACTACACTTCCCATGATGCTTTGCCAGCATTATGGGTGTAAGAGCATTGTGGGAGATGCAGTCCAAAACATCTGGAGTGCCAAAGGTTGCCTATCCCTGTCCTAGGGATCTATTAGTGGACCTCCTTTAACATTGTTTAGAATTGGTTACATGGTAACATATAAAATATTCCATCCTGCGCAGCTGATCATCTTTTTGGCAAAATTAGTTTATTAATAATGTAATATTTTCTGATTCACCATAGAATACAACTCGGAATATGATGAAAGGAGAAGGCTAGAAAACTACAATACATGTAAAAATAAATCTATATCAATGTGATATAACTATTTATAATAGACCGGCTCTGGGCAATAGGGAAAGAAACATACAGCTAATTGCTGCAAGAAACAGCAGAAATGTTGAGCCCCTCTCTGTGTGTCATTGTCCCTTTCCCCAGCCCCTCAGTGTTTGTCATTGTCCCCTTCCCATCAAACCCCTCTCTGTTTCATTGTCCCCTGTCCCAGCCCCTCTGTGTATGTTATTGTCCCCTTCTTCACCTCCTCTCTGTTTGACATTGTTCTCTTTCCCAACTCATCTGTGGGTCATTGTCCCTTTCTCCAGTTCCTCTGTGTGTGTCATTGCATCATTTTTTAGCCCCTCTGCATTTGTCCGTGTTCTCCAGCTCAGCCCCTCTATGTGTCATGGTCTCCTTCCCCAACATCTCTCTATGTCATTGTCTCCTTTTCCCCACCACCCTTTGTGTCATTGTCCCCTTCCCCAGCCCTTCTGTGTGTCATGGTCCCCTTTCCCCACCACTCCTTGTGTTATTGTGTGTGTGTGTCTGTCGGGGGGGGGGGGGGGGGGGGAGGCACAGGTCAGTTTCGCACCGGGGCCCCATGGATTGTGCCCTTACTTACATCCCTTTTGTAGCATGGTCAAGCAGACCGCGGTAGAGGAGTTTCTGTTACCTCTACCCGGACTGACAGAAAGCTGTTCAGTTCTCTCATCGAGCACTTCCTGTCAGACTAAGTAGAGAATAGATCTTCTACTGCAGCACAGTCCATACAGCCTCTCGAAATGACGTGACTGGCAGGAGGTGGAGCACTGTGCGTTCTCCTCCTGCCAGTCATTCAGGGTCTGGATTTTTAATAATGGTGTGTTTTTGTATGTAGTGTTCACATTTTAATGCAGAAGTGTGTTTGCATGTTGAAGTTTGAATGGAGGGGTGCATTTGTATTTAATCTTGGTGTTCAGACACATAGAGATACACACTGACACACATGCAGATACACACTGAAAACATACATATACATAGACACATACAGATACGCATAAACTGACAGACATACTGACACACACAAATACATACATTAACAGACACACTGGCACACACACATACACTGACAAACATACTGACACACACAGATGCATACACTGACAAACTGAGACACATACAGACACATACACTGATAGACGTACTAACACACACTGACAGACATACTGACACACATATATTCACATACACTGACAGAAACATTGACACACACAAACAGGCACATCCACTGACACATACTGACAAACACACAGGCACATACACTGACAGACATACTGACGCACACACAGATACATACACTGTCAGAAATACTGACACACACTGACAGACATACTGGCACACACACACAGATACAGACAGACTGGTCCTGACTGTGCTCAGTAACTTCATTTTTACCTGAGACTCAGGCTGCTCCGGGACTGTCCAGGCTGCCAGGCCTGGCTTGCGCTCTGAGAGAGCGGCCTTAAGGCAGCATCTGTGTTACTGTGATATCGACACACATTAACAAAAACTGCCTAATACATTCAATATAATACATTCAGGCAGTGCTTACTTCATACACACACACACACACACACACAAACACTTCTAAATATATACACACTGCCTAATACATACATACATGCATACATACACACTGCCTAATATATAAGCAAGCACATTAGCAAAATACAGACACACACACACAAACAAGCACTGCCAATATTCACAACACACACATACACAAACAAACTGCTTAATCCCCCCACACACATAAATTGTTTAATTCCCTCCCCCCAGACACACACACACAAACTGCTTAATCCACACATACTGCCTACATTCACAAATTACACACAAACTGCTTAATCCCCACACACACTGCCCAATGGCTCTCCTATTAAAACATTTGTCTTTAACAGTGTTTTAAGCCACTGGATCTAAACACAGGAAGTATGAAGACATAACTTCTGTTCCATGCAGTGGTTGGTTTTCATATCCAGCCAGCCCTTTTCAGCAGACATCTGTTAATGGTGCCAGATGCCAAATACCATCAATAGAACCAAACTCTCTGTAAATGCTTTTAGGTGAAATGTTAACATACTGTACAGCAGACATTATAGTCCCATTAAATGTAACCTCTCTATTTTGTGGAAACATTCTAACAGATTTATCCAACATATTCCAAAAGACTATGACACAGTTTTGTTTTTATTTAATGATATTCCAGAAGGCGAACGTTCATGAAGCTATGTTTGATGTGCTAAAAATAATCAGTTTATTTGTGACAGCTAAAGAAAAGAAATATAATTACATTCATAAACAGGCTGAAGAAAAGACTTGGGTCCATCATCGTTATTCTTTTATGCATTTCCTTTACATTTGTTGATCCAAAAGTAGGCTAAAACCCAGTATAAAACAATGCACATTTATTTTCACACAAAAAAAAATCATTCTTGACTAAAAAAATGGCATTTAGATTTCATCATGCCCTTCAATGTTTAGTTTTTCCACACAGAAAAAAAGCATTCAGATGATAAACTAGCTATCAGATAACTGTTTGTATTGGCTTCCTGTATCATATCACTTCCACTGTTTCATATCCACTTTCATGCCTTTTTTAGTTTTAAAGTAAACGAATTCAAGTTTGCTAGACTTTTTTCAAGGCTGACACTTTCCATACAGCCCATTATTTTTGCTTCCTTTTTATCGGTTTGGCACAGGCTGTTGTCTGGTTTGTTTGTTTTTTTGGTTTCTTTTTTGTTTTTTAAATTCTTTATTTTTGGAGTGCGTTAATATACCACAGTCGCTTGTGAGGTACCCCAAAGGCAGTCCTCTGGCGTTTTAAATTATCTGTTTTTTTGTCTGCTGCATGGTTTCCTGTTTCTTATCAGCCAAAGGTGATACTTGCATGTCTACATCCTCGCTGTACACTCTACTTACTGTTGGTATATGTCAGTGAGTAAACTTGAAGATGTGTCAGAATAATGGGTACAATGCTATTGCTATCAGCAAGACAAGTGCTGCGGATAGTCAGAGGTCACACCAGGGATATTCAACATTAATTGTTGAGAATTCAAAGTGAAGCTTAAAATTTAGAATTAAAGGACAATAGTCACCTTAAAAATATTTTTCATATTATAATCCTCTCATCAAGTATTGAATGTAAATAGATTTTTTTATTTTTTTATTTAAGTATATGTTAAACAAAAAGAAACAGATACAATTTGTATCTTGTAATACCTTTTTTATTGGACTAACATAATTTTTTAATAACAAGCTTCCTTTCTCAAGCTTTCTCCTGAAAGCTTGTCATTAAAAACTTATGTTAGTCCAATAAAAAAGGTAATACAAGATACACATTTTATCTATATCACTGGACTAATACGGCTACAATCTCTACTTAAAAAGAAAAAGAGAAAAACTTATGCCTTTATTTTGTGTTATGTTTTATGTGTGTGTGCAGTGTGTGTGAGAGGGGAAGTGTGAGTGAAGAGAAAGTGTGTGAGGGGGCAGTAGGTGTGAAGAGTGCAGTGTGTGTGTGAGGGGAATAGTGTCTGTATGCCTTAATTTTATCTTATGTGTTTTTTGTGTGTGTGTGTGTGTGTGTGTGTGCTTGTGTGAAGGGGCAGTCTGTGTGTGTGTGTGTGTGAAGGGTGCATAGGGTCTATGCTCTGTGTAGGTGGGTGTAGGTAGGTGAGATGTGGGGTGGGGGGGCATAATGCTGCAAGCCCTGGTTGTCCAGTGGTGGCATATTCACTATAGCCTGCAGGCTGATTCTCCTGTCCTCCCGTGAGCACAGCACTGCATTGGAGTGTTGCCATGGTAACGCGTGGTAACACGTGGCAATGCTCCAACCAGCCTGATCACGGGAGGAACCCCTCCCATGCCCTTCTCTCCCTCTGCTGGAACTAAGTGCAAGCGGGTGGTTGAGGGAGATCTTTGATCTCCTCACCAGCCCGAGATGGCTTACAGCAAGGCTGGCTCTGCATGGTCCGGCAGGGAAATAAAATAATCTCCCCTGCTGGCCTTGGTCCATGGCCATCAAGGCCCACTGGGCTATTTCTGCAGAACCCACCACCACCCACCTGAAATCCCAAACCGCCCACTAGTGGGCAGACGGGACCAAGTTGACTACCCATGGTCTATGCAGACTTCCCTGTTTCTGGGCAGGGAGTCAAGCAGGAAAGACTGAGTCCTTCAAACACTGTCTGACTCAAGGTGCATGTATATGGATCCCATCATATACTGCAGGTAGGGATGAGGTTTTTATCTTTTCCTTTTTTTTTTACATATAAATCATTTAAAAATAAATGTATTTCCTTTCAAAACTTGATGAAAGGATAATTATAGTTTCGATGTGAAAGTCCTTCCTTAAATAGCCAAATAGGAAGAAATGTCCAAGATCAGTTTTCAACACGACTATGTTAGAATAAAAGTTGAAATTATCACTGAAACCACTCATTCCAAACACAAGTCTTTCTCAGCATCAAAAGGTGGAAAACCAGCAGAATAACCAGAAGAATGGAAATTTGGAAACCCATCTCTGCAATAACTCTGTACAGTTTTTTTCATTGTTATTAGTTTTCAATTATATGTGAGATTTCCACCTTCTGTGGGAGACATGTACTGTACAGTGATACGCGTGGGATGGTTGGAATCCATAATGTGTATCCACGTGTGTGGCCATATTTGCTGCCTAGTGTTTAGAAGCCAGCCACATGATTCTGTGATGTGAATGTAGATACTTGACTCATATCCATCCCCCAAACCCTCACGCTAATGAATTTCCATTCAAGTCGTTAATCCATGCTTAGGCTGCTATATTGTATATTATATGATTGTCATATACTGTTACTTGAATAGTCTGTTTGTAATTGAAGCTCTTGTAAAACTATTTTGTTTTAATTTCCCTTACTAGTATTACATTGAGTCATATCTGTTGTTCTTTTTCTACAACTCCAATGTGCACAATTTTACATATCTGCAATTTTATATATTTCCAGATTAAATTTTTTCAGCTGTCTTTTCTTTTTCCACATACGGAGACTGAGAAGACCCAGACCCTTCACACACCCCAAGTATAAAGACTCAAGAAGCCACATCTGGATTGTTATATTTATTTATCTTACTCAGAGACTATTTTTTTATTTTTATTTTTATATCTTATTTTACTGGGACACAATTCTAGTACTTTCCTCTGTACTTTCCTTCCTTTTGCCGATTTCTTTGAGCACGGAACAGGTGAATTAGCTGGGATATAAACTCCAGGAAAGATTGGCAACTGGCTTGAATTTTTTCCAATTTTGAATAATCTTTCTCACTGTAGAATGATGGCCTGTTTGGCCAGTTTGATGGGCAGCAACAGTTGCTCCTCTAAGATCATTGCTGATGTATTTCCTCCTTGGCATTGTGTTAACACACACCTGAATGCTCCAGACCAGCAAACTGCTAAAAGTTTGGCTTTTATAGAGGTTGTCACACTTACTTATGATCAATTTATCAAGGCCATTTACTTAGCAGCAGCTGTCTGCTACTTTGCCTCTATGGATAATTCCTATGGAAGCAGTGTACTTAGTTTTTCACACATGGCTTCTCTATCTTGGATTAGGGTTTGTTTAAAAATATTATGGCGCGGCTTAATATGTCATGTGTTGTTGTTCATCTGAGGTTGTATTAGATATATTTAGTAGAGGTGGACAGCATCCAGGCAATATTGACCTACAGTGATCATCTTTCCCCCCTCCCAGACCCATAATAAAGTTCTATCCCACTGCCCCCCACACTACTGCATGTATTCGTTCCTTTATCATCCCCTAACCCCAGACACACACACTATAGCCCATAGTCATTCCCCATACACACGCTCCTATTCTCACTCATACACTCTACAGCCCCTAATCACCCCATAGACATTACAACTTCTATTGATCCACACAGACATCACAGCCCCTATCCCCCCACACACACTACAATCCCTGCTCCCCCGCTACAGTTTCTATTCATCCCACATATCAATTGCTGCCCCATTCCTTCCACTTACACTACAGCCTCTATTCATCCCCTTACACACTACAGACTCTATACATCCCACATTGCGTCACAAAGATCCCTCTCCACACACAACATACATCCTTATCTGTGTTCAACCCCATAAGCAATCCAAACCCTTACAAATATGCAACAACAGAAACAGCATCCTCAAAAACACAAATACCACAAACAAGCTCACCCTCCTCATCCCTACATACATGCAACACTACAAGCAGTCTCAACAAACACACAGCACTCAGGTAGCCTACCCCCATGTACATAACACTTCAAGTAGTCTCCATTCACACAACCACCACACGAACACCACAACAATCAGCCCCCACACATGTACAACAACCCCTGCCAACCCTATTCCTCGTTTGTCCTCTTGTATCAACAAAAACATATTCCCCATGTCCATATACTGACACTCCATTGAAATGCAACCAGTGTTCACACACAATATCACAATTATCAAATTGGTATTTGTTACTGAGCTTCCATTATCAGTGGGGACATGCACTCCTTAAACTCATTATATTTACTGAGCTTCCGGTCTTACAGAGGTCTTGCCCTCATAAAATTCATATTGGTTACTGAGCTTCCTCCATTCACAAAGCTAACACGCTTATCAAACTGGTTGTCATTAGTGAGCTTCCTCTTTACCCTCATTCAGTGTCTCCTTTTCTAATGATACCTCCTCCCTTCATCCTGTCTCTGTTAGAGTCCCCCAAGGCTCTGTACTTTGTCCCCTTCTATTTTATCTTTATACTGCCTCTCTTGGCAAACGTATTACTTCACGTGTCACTGCTTGCCTTTCTTCCATCTCTGACTGGATGTCCTTCCGCTTTCTGAAACTCAATCTCTCTAAAACTGAAGTTGATCGTACCAATATCAGCCCATCCTTGCAAGTACGCTGTCTTGGAGTTACATTTGATTGAAGTGCCTCAAAACCCATCAAAGCTCATGGCCTCCCAGAGTAACCTCTACCTCACATACCTATCACTTGCTCTCTCCTAAAGGGCAGCATGCTACGCTCTCCTCCAGCTCTGCTTCACTCCACCTTATTTAATTGCTACCTCCAGTCCTGCTGTGTTTTACGCCCCACCTCCTATAGACTGTAAGCTCGTTTGAGCAGGGCCCTCTTCAACCTATTGTTCCTGTAAGTTTTTGAAATTGTCTCATTTATTGTTAAATCTCCCCCATTGATAATATTATAAAGCGCTACGGAATATGCTGGCAGTATATAAATATCAGTAATAATAAGTATTAATAGCTCTTTAAAATATCCAACAAGCCAATTTAGTAATAAAACTCGTGGATACAAGCATAAGATTGATATTCTGTGACCAAATAGCATTGGAATCTGCCATTGCTGACACTGGTTACTGTTTAGAACTTTTTTATTTTCCTAATATAGAATTCTTCAGTCTTCCACAATAAATGTAATGTCAATAGAATTCCTTTTCTTAAAAACAGTTTTTTTTTTTTTCTTCTTCTCTGTATAGAAAAAAGAAAAAAGTCAATACTCCATAGCATTTTACCTAGAGAACCATCAGGACAATTGTGTAAAAAAAAAAAATGGTTTGTAAATTTCACTAAACTTCGTAAGAATGAACGCTGTTGCCAGACTGATTTTCCTCTCTTGTCGGTTTTCTTACACCTCACCCGTCTGCCAGCCCTTGCATTGGCTTCCTGTATGTTATAGGAGTCAATTCAAGGTATGAATTCACACCTATAAAGCACTGAACAATTCTAGCCCCTCTTATATCTCCTCACAGATCCATAGGTATGTCCCTTCTCTGTCTCTCCGCTCTGCCCGTGACCACCTCCTGTCCATTGTCCGCACCCGTACGGCCAATTCATGCTTGCAGGACTTCTCGCGGCTGGCTCCCTTCCTATGGAGTAGCCTGCCTACCGCCATCAGACTCTCCCCTAGTCTTGCATCTTTTAAGAAGTGCCTTAAAACCCATCTCTTTAGGAAAGCTTATGGCCTCCAAGACTAACCTCTACCTCACATACCTGTCTCTTGCTATCTCCTAAAGGGCAGCACACCTTATTTGACTGCAAAATCCTGTCCTAATGTGTTTTACACCCCACCTCCTACAGAATGTAAGCTCGATTGAGCAGGATCCTCTTCAACCTATTGTTCCCGTAGGTTTTTTGTAATTGTCCTATTCATAGTTAAATCCCCCCTCTCATAATATTGTAAAGCGCTATGGAATCTGTTGGCGCTATATAAATGGCAATAATAATAATAACAACTAGAAAAGCTACAATTTCTGGGGAAATTGTGTGAAGTGTTCTTGCCTCCACCAGTAGTCTACAACTGGAATGGGCGGAGTAACTGGGTGGAGTGGCTTGAGTAACTGTTGTGTGATTGAAGTGGCTGGAGTAACTGTGGAAAGGTTGGACTGGGCAGGGTAACTTTATGGAGTGGGCTGAGTAACTGTGTGGATTGTTTAGAGTGAGTAAAGATAGTAAACATTACACTAACCAATTGATTGATCAACTTTAAAAAGTGCACATGGCAAGTTTGATAGAGTGAGAAATGCATTTCAACTTTTATTTATTTATATAGCACATTTAATTGCAACGTTGTTGCCCAAAGTGCTTCACAGTTACATTAAAACTGTGCTATGCAAGAACACTTAATAACACGTTTTTTTTTTTTTGGTTATTAAATCATTTCACCAATTACAATTTACACTTTAGAAATCCCATAGATTACAATGGTGATATATGGTAAAGAAATGGGATAAGAAAACAGAATGTTATTTTTTAAGAGTCTGGTTATTTGGTTGTAAATTAATATAGGAATCCGTTAAAACAGAACAGAAAGAGTTCCAGCTAGAGACTGTCAGTTTGGAGGAAGGAGGAGGCCCTAGGATTATATACTTGGATGGCCATCCATAATCCTGGTAATATATAAAGGACTCTGAAGCTGGAGATTTCCATACAGACGACATAACTGCTCGTTATGGTATTTGATGTTTTCTAGGTAGTTTAGTTAGGCTCTGGAGGTCAATACTCTGTTATGCTCTGTTAGCAGGGTTGAGTAAGTAATTCCAAATGCCTAATGCTCTTAACTGTTTCATACCTACAGTGTCATGAGTTGATTAGTGCAAAGGCGTACTAAAGAGGGGGCAGGGGCGGTTTCTACCCCAGGTAACTGCACAGAGCATGTCCATGCCACCTGAGCAAGCACCTTTCTACCGGCATGTTTCTTGCTGAGGTGCCACATGCCCACTCTGTAATTGCAGAGCGAACAGTGAGGGTGCTGCTGGGATCAGTCAGACCAAGTTCTCCTTCCTATCTGCTCTCCACAGTATGTGTTTACTAAGCTGGGCCTGATGGGAAATCAAGGGGACATGAAGTTACATCACTCGGCCCACTTACCAGCTCTACTAAGTAAATGAATACAGAGGAGAGCAGGCAGACAGAGCCTGCTTATAATGCTGCACTATAAGCAGCGTCACATAATAATGCCAAAAATAAAGAAATGGGGCACAGGGCTGGTCCTGCTTGTTGGGTGATTTGGGATGTTCCTGAGCACACCCAGCACAACAAGCTCATGATTGTGACATAAAATGACAAAATCATGTAGAAAATAAAATGCGATAGTGGGCAATTTGCAATCTGAGCATGGAAAGACGGTTCAGTACATGAAATTCTGGTGAGACCAGCGACTGTCATACTGAAAAAAAACTTGAATTAATGCACTGAATGTTTAATTTAAAGTTCATTCCTCTAAGAACGCCGTAGTTTTGTATCACACACTTGATAAGAAAGGTTTCCGTGAGCAAGAAATAAGTGACAGGTAAACAAAGTAAAAGAGTTGAATAGATATCCTGTGGAAGACCCTCTGGAACCAGCCAGGATTATCTATACCTGAGAACCACCATATTTCACTTATAAATTTAACTCTATAACCTTTTGAGAGGGGGGTTTATTTCAGGCATAATATGCCCTACTGAGCACTACGGGGAAGGTCCTCCCTCTCAATGATAGTAAAACCTGAAAAAAAAGATTTACTTCCAGCGGTGGACAAGGCTTCCAGTGCCCATCTTTTGGGGCTCCCTCTGACGTCACTGGAGGCACAGGTGATCCAATCACCAGGTCAGAGCAAGTTTGTATGCTTCTGGCCTGCGAGGGGTGGGAAGGAGGGAGGTTGTTGTTCTTTTAAAGACCAATGTGCATGGAGGGAGGTGGGAGGGAGTGCCAACAGGGTATTCCATGCACACAATTGACATTTGAAAGCCCGGATCAGAGCTCCAAGCATTGTAAGTCTAAGTCTTGTGTTACAGGTAACATCTTGCAGCTTGAGAGGCGGATACTCTACCATGGCTTTTGTGAGGTCTAATTGATCAGCCATCATACAACAGGACAATATTGATGGAAGTTTAAAGCAGCACTGTCACTACCCAAGAAAAAGTAGTATGTAATAAAAATAGAATCTTCATAAAATACGCAGATTGACTGTGTTGCAATTTCACTCAAATTCCAAACCAGTTAAGAGATATACTGGGACCAAGTAGGGACTACTCTGTCTCTGTATATTTCTTATGCCTGACACTTATAAACACTAGGAGGAGCTATCGCCATCTAGAAGTGTCAGTTCCCCAGCCATCACAAGTGACGCCTTCAGGGAATTGGCTGTATCTATGGAGCATCCCGCAGTCTCATAGGATCCTTCATAAAGCTCACGGCTGTACTCTCGAGTATATGTGACAGTTCAGCAGGGACATTGACTCCTGGCGCTACAAGAATCTGCCAAGAGAAGATGGCGGCACCCATGAGTGAGTGGTTCAGGTACATAGAACTCACCATTGCCTGCCCCTCCCCTGCCAAGGGACTCCCAGCGACAATGTCACTGTCTTTGGAAATTCTCCAAAGTCCCCACACGGTGACAGGAGATTGCTACATGTCAATGTCAGGTGATTTTGCATTATTATTTTTTTAGGAATTTTATGCACTCATACTACTTACAGAATCTCTCTAAAATATTAGAACTGTAAGTAACCCTCCACCCAATTAGTGTACACATACCAGTTTAGTTATCCTCAAGCACCATTGTATCTCTGCATAAGAATGTAATATCTGTAACAAATATCTTATATTATAACATTGTCCCTTATTGTATACAGTATACAAAATGATCAACTTTTTCTTTGGTGATCAACTTCTTCAGCCACCTGAGCTTTAAAAATATTAACATTTTGCACTACTGAACTCAATTCTGTGTACACAAGATATTGAGAATGGAAAATGAGTTCACCCTCAAGGGTGTTATAAGATGGCTGGAAAGCAGAATTGTGCTTCACTTGCACAGATAACAAAAATCCTAATGTTAGGTAATCCTAGAAGTGTATTAAAAATTAATTGAACCGCAGAATTTGTGGGGAAAATAACAGTAGGAAATGTAGCAGAATTTGAGGAGTTTGCCAACTTCTCAATTCAGGCTTTTAGTTTTGCAAAATATTTGACATCGTTCCATGATTTGCTGTAGAGTAAGGAAATCTGTTTATAAACCAAACTTCACACACCTCCAAAATAACATTTTACACAAATCAATTAGAATAATAATTAAAAAAAAAAATTTAATTATTTTTTGGTCCAATCCAATAGGCATTTTTGAACTATTCTAGCATGACATAAGTTTCATGAAAAACATCAATGAACATATAGATTTCATTTTAGTACATTAACCCATAATTTGATACATGCTCACTGGTGAGGGTGGGAGGGCATTCAACAACCCTCTGCTGGCAGTGCACTGCCTTATATTGCAATGTGGCTGACTGCTTGCACTGAGAGATTGCATACAATGGCATTAATAGACTCTGCTGCGGCCATGCTCTGCAAAGTAACTATTAGGGAAGGCGGCACTATTTTCAAAGCACAGAGGGGCTAGGTGAGTGTAAGGTAAAACACATTCAAGAGTAGGTGATGAACAGAATGACCTGGTTGAGTCAGTTTATGAGGAAGGGATGGACAGACATAGCATGGGTTGATGGATGAAATTACATACAGGGGTTTCCAAGGTGAACAGACATAGCAGTGTTGAAGATATGTGAATAGAGACACACACAATTTGTAGTCTAATATTATAAAAATAGCAGAAAGCATAGAAATTTACCACAAAGATACCCTTAAGGTACATTCCACAAGTGCGCATTTTATCTTATATATTGTGAGTAATCAGTAAAAACTCAAACTGTGAGGATTGCTGCCAAGTGGAATCAAAACTCGTAGTAAAACAACAGCAGGCTGTGCTAAAGTGTCAAAATAGCTATAAAGCCTCTTAATTGTGAACAATCCAAAACATGTTAGAAATATGAGTAATAATTGCAACAGTGGAGTAAGAAACAAAAAAAATAAAATCATTTTGCTGTATGGCATAATATAGCTGAAAGGTTCATTGTCATAAGCAACAATTAAATGTTTGGAGGAATCGGTCACGTTTGAATCCATTGTAGTTCCCGTCTGGTGTACATCTGAACTTGTCTCTTCATGGTTTTTCACCTCAGTGGTAGTATGAACATGTGTCACCGTGCTCACAGTTGACGTACTAGGCTCTACGCCAGCAGTAGAAGATTTCATCTCAAGAATGGATTTAGTAACCTTTGTGTCACGGCTTATGGTCCACCAAGGGTAGGGAGATGTTGATACTAGTTGGGAGCTAGAATGTATCTCCCTAGTTGTTGTGTGCCGGCATATTGACTCACTTGCATTCAAAACAGGAATATTCATCAATTTGAAAGGAGTTCTGCAAACAAGTGACATAGCATCATGTACCTGATTCATGTTTTGGCGAAGCCATGCAATAAAATCTAAAAGATTGCAATCACAGGCCCAAGGGTTGCCATCTAAACGCACCATTTGCAAACTGGGCAATCCCTTAAACAAATCACCAGGAAGGGTCTGTAATTGACAGTTGTTCAGATAAACATATTGAATATTTTGAAGAGAGCCAAAGAGATTGCCTTGGAGCACTTCAAAGTAGTTATTGAAAAGAGATAGATTTTTCAGGCTTTGCAAATCTTCAAAGATTCCCTCCTCAAGAAAAGTTAGATTATTGGAATGTAGTGATAGTTCCAATACATTGCTCAGACCATGAAATGCATTCTTTGGAAGACGATGAAGCTTTGGGTTTCTGGTCAAGACAAGTAACTGCAAGTTGGTGAGATTACTGAAAACAAGACTTGGCACAGTTTCCAGATCTGTATGGTAGATCCATAGAGATTGCAACTTGTCCATTTTTCCAAAGAGCACAGTGGGGAATTCAGTTAAAGGATTGTCATAAAGCGTTAACATAGTTATCTCTGGCAAATGTAAAAATAATCCATCGGGTAATGTTTTCAGTTGGTTTCTGGAAAGAGTTAGCGTTTTTAAATTAGGAGAATAACTAAATGCATCTTTAGAAATGGTTTGGATTTTATTTCCATATAAAGCAAGCTCTATCAGCTCTCCAAGATGGTTAAAATTCCAGTTATTGATCTCAGTTAGCATATTATTGTAGAGGTACAAGTATTCTAGATTGATCAGTGAGCTAAAAATGCTTCTAGGCAAGGTGGAGAGCTTATTTCTGGAAAGATTCAGAACTCTGAGACTTTTGAGTCTGCTTAGCAAACCATCTGGCAATTGTGCTAGGTAATTTCTGTTTAGAGAAAGCTCCTCTAGTTTCTCTAAATTTGAAAACAAATATTCATCTATTTGTGTCAATTCATTTTTATCAAGGAACAACTGTATAAGACTTTTTAAGGAATCAAAAATCCCTGGAGGCAGACTCTTAATTTTATTGTCTGTAAGCTTAATGGAGTGTAGAATTTTAAAACCTTTAAATGCTCCAACTGTTACTATGGATATCTGGTTAGAGTCCAAGGCAAGACGTGAGGTCACGTCTGTTGGCTGGAAGCTGTCTTCTGATAGTTTGGAGGCAAGAGTATTTTTTATAATAATAGAAGTATAGTTATAGGGTATTGCGAGTTTGGCAAAGTCTGCTATATCTCTTCCAGTACAGAACACTTTGTCTTTTACCAAACAACTACACATAGCTGGACATGAAGCACCAACCAGTAAAACACTGGGTACACTTAAGAAGAAGAAGATGATCATCTTCATAGAAACACCTAAAAAATAAAGCAGAATTAACAAATATCCCACACGAATATCACAAACACAATATTCACACACAAATCTTAACCCAGTAGCTAAGGTTGTAGGCTAAATATTGCAGGTTTGGTTCGGAGGTCAATTACATACATACCATTAACTTGTAATTGTAATAAAAACACAATTCTGGGATATATTTGAAAAGGAATAAAAGCTAACTTGTACTTTCTGGGAAAACAGTTATTATTATGACTATTAATAAACAGAATACACTTCTTCTCTTTATGAAGACCAGGGATCTAAAGTGACCAGGCAGTAGATATGTGCATTCATATTCCTAGTATATGGAAATGGCTGAAAATTTAGATTTTTGTTCATTTAGTCAGATTCCAAATATTCCATGGGGAAACCTTGAGTTCAGGCATTCATATGGATGTTACTTTGACACGTGTATGTTACTATGGATGTTACTTTGGCACTAGAATTTGTTGAAGACCACGTACACCCCATCATGTCAATGGTGTTTCCTGATGACAACATCCTCTTTCAGCAGGATAATGCACCCTGCCACACTGCAAAATTTGTTAAGGAATGGTTTGTGGAATATGACAAATAGTTCAAGGTGTTGTCTTGGCCTCCAAATTCCGCAGATCTCAATCAGATTGAGCATCTGTGGGATGTGCTGAAACAACAAATCTATGGAGACCCACCTTGCAACCTGCAATACTTAAAGAATCTGCTTCTAATGTCTTGGTGCCACATACCACAAGACATGTTCAGAGGTCTTGTGGAGTCCATGGTTTAAAGCATCAGAGATGTTTTGGCAGCATGAGGGGGATGTACACATTATGAGATACGTGGTTTTAATGTTGTAGCTGATAATGTTTAGAATAAATTAAGCCTAATGAAATAGTTTTGGTGTATAAATAGTGTTCCTGCATACTCACTGCTCAATTATTTGCCATTTAGAAGTTGTGGCAAAGAATTGAGCAGTGAGTTTGCACGACCTGGCAGAAATTGTGAAATTTTGCCATTGATTTTGAAAATATGACTGATCATGCAAAAAAAGTATTTTATTAAAGGATAGTGATCATATAAAGCCATTTATTATCACAGTTTGTTTGGCTCCTTTTTAACCCCTTAAGGACTGGACTGTTTTGGCCATGTTGTACGTTAAGGACAAGGGCTGTTTTAACACTTTTGTAGTGTTTGTGTTTAGCTGTAATTTTCCTCTCTTGCATTTACTATTCCCATACAAGTTAAATATTGTTTTTTTTCAGGACAAGAAGGGCTTTCTTTACATACCATTATTTGTATCATGTCATATAATTTACTTTAACCCCTTAAGGACTGAGCCAAATGTACACGTTGTGATCAAAACAAAACCTTGAATTTGCGCTATATGTCTGTTCAGGCGTAATTCACCTCTTTCATATTATGTGCACCCACACTTATTATATATCATTTTATTCAGGGGAAACAGGGCTTTCATTTAACATCAAATATTTAGGTATAAAACAATTTAATATGAATAAAATATGGGAGAAAAGAATTTGTAAAAACATTTTAGTTCTACGTGACATTCTAACTGTGAACATCATAATACTGTTTGCTTTTACTGCAATAAAATACACATATTTGTATTCAGCAATGTCTCACGTGTAAAACAGTACCCCCTATGTACAGGTTCCTTAAGGATGGCATAGAACGCCTACCGTCCTTAAGGGGTTAAAAAAAAAAGTTGAGAAAAAAAACATGCTTTTTGACTTTTACTTGAAACATCTTTTACTTATCTACAAAAGCTAATGGGAAAAACTGCTAAATAGATTAAAACTTTTGTCCTGAATTTAAAAACACCCAGTGTTTACATGCTTTTTTGCAAGTTATAGGGCTATAAGTACAAGTAGGACATTGCTTTTTCAAAATATATATTTTTAAAATGTATCAATATTGACAGTGTAACACTTATCTGTCATAAATCTCTGAATCACACCTCACGTACATATATTTTTAAAGAAGACAACGCAGGGTATTCAATATGAGGCATGTCTTTTTTTAGTAGCCACTTAGTCACAAACACTGGCCAAAGTTTGCATTTATATGTGTGTTAAATGCAAAAAATGCAAAAAAACAATTATGAACGCTAACTTAGGCCAGTGTTTGTGACTAAGTGGCTACTAAAAAAGACTGAACATACCCCATTTGCAATAACTTGGGTTGTCTTCTTTTACAAATGGTATGCCATCATGAGGGTAATTCTCATTCCTGGGCTACCAAACGCTCTCAAAGGCAACATAACCAATCTGGAAAATTGAAACAACACAAAGAAAAGTGTGGGAATAAATGGCGCTTATAAATATAGTATAGAACAAATTTCAAAAAGCTGCTATAAAACACTCATGAGGGTACTCCAAAACCACTCTCCACATGCAAAAAACAACCAGTAAACCTCAAATGGGTCAGTGTGACCACCTCCCCACTATTGGTAAGAGTGTAGCGCTAATAGGTGTATATTAACAGTGCTCAAAAATACAAATGTACACTTACCACTCAAGGTAATATCAGAGAGGTAGATATATAAAAGGAAAAAAACAGAAAACATACATAGGGTGATAACGTAGAGCCTGTATTAAAGTGAATTTAGGTATATGCAAATAAACTCACATTTATTAGAGCCTTTTATATGGATATAGGCTCTAAACACTCAAGTATCCGTGCCTTTAAGGTAGGCAGCGAGACCGTATTGATTCTGCTTGCTTTTTTTTCCCTCTTTTTCCTTCCCTCCTTTCAATCAGGATGAAGACTCCAAGAGAAAAGAGAGACAAACTTCTGGGTGCAGATTGTTTAACTTTTAACATATAAAACAATATCTTTTTGTGGTGAGAGAAAATGGGAACTGCTCACCTATTTATGAGCCTTTTAAACTGGCTCTAAGTTTAACTGGCATATGTGTCTCATATGGAAAATTGAAAAAAAAAAATGAAAATCCAGCCATATATTTGACCATGAAACTTTCAAAAACACTATAAAACCTGTACATGGGGGTACTGTTATACTCGGGAGACTTCGCTGAACACAAATATTAGTATTTCAGAACAGTAAGAAGGTCTTGATGGTAAGGTATGTCTTTTTGCTGATGATACTAAGATATGCAACAGGGTTGATGTTCCAGGAGGGATAAGCCAAATGGCAAATGATTTAAGTAAACTAGAAAAATGGTCAGAATTGTGGCAACTGACATTTAATGTGGATAAGTGCAAGATAATGCATCTTGGACGTAAAAACCCAAGGGCAGAGTACAGAATTTTTGATAGAGTCCTAACCTCAACATATGAGGAAAGGGATTTAGGGGTGATTATTTCTGATGACTTAAAGGTAGGCAGACAATGTAATAGAGCAGCAGGAAATGCTAGCAGAATGCTTGGTTGTATAGGGAGAGGTATTAGCAGTAGACAGAGGGAAGTGCTCATGCCATTGTACAGAACACTGGTGAGACCTCACTTGGAGTATTGTACACAGTACTGGAGACCGTATCTTCAGAAGGATATTGATACCTTAGAGAGGGTTCAGAGAAGGGCTACTAAACTGGTTCATGGATTGCGGGATAAAACTTACCAGGAAAGGTTAAAGGATCTTAACAAGTATAGCTTGGAGGAAAGACGAGACAGGGGGGATATGATAGAAACATTTAAATATATAAAGGGAATCAACACAGTAAAGGAGGAGACTATATTTAAAAGAAGAAAAACTACCACAACAAGAGGACATAGTCTTAAATTAGAGGGACAAAGGTTTAAAAATAATATCAGGAAGTATTACTTTACTGAGAGGGTAGTGGATGCATGGAATAGCCTTCCAGCTGAAGTGGTAGAGGTTAACACAGTAAAGGAGTTTAAGCATGCGTGGGATAGGCATAAGGCTATCCTAACTATAAGATAAGGCTAGGGACTAATGAAAGTATTTAGAAAATTGGGCAGACTAGATGGGCCGAATGGTTCTTATCTGCCGTCACATTCTATGTTTTTTTTTTTTTTTTTTTTTTTTATAATCTTTATTTTATTGCGCAGAGAAAAAGGTGTTACAAGACAGATAAAACAGTAGCCACATCGGCTTAACAAATATCGTTGCAAAATTCACAGGCTTTAGTATTTGCGCATTTTTTCCCTTTGTCCCATTTGTAACATTGTGTAACTTGACAGGGTAGTATTCTAGTGAATGCAGGTACAGAGCATACTACTGACATTGGTCGGGGGGTATGGGTTCGGCTCGTAGGGTTGTACCTTTCGATGTGGTAGAGCGAGGACGGAGAGGAGGGGGGGTGGGATGAAGGTCGTGCAAGTTCTATATGGGTCGGGTGAGGGTGGCGTTTAGGTATCTCTAACGCTCTAGGTAGGTCAACCATGGCTGCCAGGTTAGAATGTATGTGTTGTAGTGGTTCGAGTATGAGGCGCTTAATTCTTCCATGGTCCGTATGAATTCCACCTTCTGTATCCACTCACGTACTGATGGGACCCCAGTGCTTTTCCACTTAAGTGGTATCAGCATGTTCGCTGCTGTCAGCATATGGTTTATGAGTTTGCGTAGGTGGCTTGGCATGTGGGTGGTGTGCATGAGGAATAAGAAGGTTTCGGGGGAGTGTGATACTTGGTAACCCGTGATAGATGTTATTAGGCTTCTTAGTCTCTGCCAATAGGTTTGAATAGGCGGGCATAGCCACCAAATGTGAGCCGTGGTTCCTTTGGTTTGCCCGCATCTCCAACATAGATCAGGTACTGTTGGGAAGAGTGCGTGGATCTTGGTAGGTGAGTAATGCCACCTGGATATCCGTTTGTACGTGCTTTCCCTTACTGCTGTGCTGACAGATGATTTATGTGTGTGTGTGAAGATCCTATGCCATGTTTCCTGAGGAATAGTGATATTTAGCTCACCTTCCCATGCTGACGTGAACGCCGGCAATAGGGTGTGACTTGAAGTGCTTAGGAGTTTGTAGAAAATGGACAGGTGTTTGGTTTGAAGGCTGTGTGTGGTGCAGTAGGTCTCAAAGGTGGTGTGTGCCCTTGTTCCTCGAATGAAATGTGGATCCCCCTTCAAGAAGTGAGACAGTTGGGCGTATCGAAAGTGTTGTTTGGTAGTAGGGTGGTCTGTTGTGGCCAGTGTAGACAGTGGAGCCACTCCCGTTGGGGTCATAACTGTGCTAACCATCGGGTATCTCGTCTTTTGGACCAATGGAAATTGGGAGAAGAAGTGTGGGCATGTGCCCGGTAGGAACTTTGGATTGTGTGCCAAGGGATATAGCGGTGAGGGGTGTGGTGAGACGTCTTTCTGGGGCCTAATGCGCGACCATTGGTGCAGTGTGGGTGTGATCGTTGGGTGTTGTGAGTGTTGAGGCAGGAGGAGTGTGTGTCCCTTGTCATGCCATGGGATTGTGCATAGAGGAGATTGGAACATTGAGCTTTCTATATATGCCCATTGTTTCAGCGGGGGCTCTGCGGTCCACTCGTATATTCTGGTTAGTATGCTCGCTTGATAGTAGCGTTCCATATGAGGTAGGCCTAGGCCCCCCCTTCCCCTATGTCTGGTCAGAATCGTGTACGCTATTCTCGGGCGTTTAGTCGCCCATATGAAGGTTGTGAATATTTGTTTGAGCTTGGAGAAAAAGGAGGGGGGGATCGCAATGGGGAGTGTTTGTAGGAGATATAACACCTTTGGCAATGTATTCATCTTCAATATATTGATCCTACATAGCCAGCTAAAGACGGGTCTCTGCCAGTTTGTTAGATCTTTTGATATCTCGGTGAGTAGTGGCATGAAGTTTAGATCGTATGCGTGTTTCAGGTGTCTGGGTAGATGGACCCCAAGGTAGGTGATGGACCTTCGAGCCCATGCAAAAGGGTACGTGGTTTTAAGTGTGTTTTGTGTTTGTCTGTCTAGTTGGAGGGGTAGGATTTCACTCTTTGTGTAATTGACCTTAAAGTTGGAGAGCTTGGCATATGTCGTCAGTTCGGCTATCAGTGGAGGCAGGGAGGTGAGCGGGTCGGTGATGGAAAATAGTAGGTCATCTGCAAACGCAGATACCTTGAATTCTTGTTGGTGGACTTTAAAGCCATGGATGGTGTTGTGGTCCCGTATTCCCTGTAGGAAGGGTTCTAGGGTGAGAATAAAGAGTAAGGGGGAGAGAGGGCAACCCTGTCTCGTGCCGTTCTTTATGTGTACCGGACCTGACAGTTGGCCGTTTATTCTCAATTTTGCCGTTGGGTGAGAGTATATGGCTCCCATCCATTGCATCCAGTGTGGACCAAAGCCCATGGCCTGGAGAGTGGTAGTGAGCATTGTCCAGTCTACTCTATCAAATGCTTTTTCAGCATCTATAGATAGTAGTAGGCTTTGCCCTTTTGTGGTTCGGGAGAGATGGATGAGGTTCAGTACTTTAGTTGTGTTATGTTTGGCCTCTCGTTTAGGGACAAAACCGGATTGATCAGGGTGGATTAAGGTGTGTAGTATAGGTTGTAGACGCATGGCTAGGATTTTCGTACAAATCTTCAAGTCTACATTTATGAGCGAGATTGGGCGGTAGCTGCCGCACTCTTTGGGGTCTTTACCGGGTTTTGGCAGCAAAGTGATATGGGCCTCCAACGCTGATGCCGGGAGTGGGGCTGGATGGGTAAGAGCATTAAATGCCCGTAGATATGGTTCAGCCAAGAGTGTAGCGAATTGTTTGTAGTATTTGGCTGTGAGGCCGTCGGGGCCAGGCTTTTGCCTAGTGGTGTTGATTTTATCGCGCAATTTAATTCTTCAGTGGTAATGGGCATGTCTATGGACTGTGCCACGGCGTCAGGGATTTTATTTTTTAGCCTGGTTGATAGGTATCTTGTTATGTCGTTTATATCCGGAGGTGACTCCCTGAGGTTGTAAAGTTTGGTATAGAAGTGTTGGAAGGCTTTCATGATGTCTGGGAGGGTATGTGATATAGTGCCCATTTGTGTTTTGATTTTGGAGATGTACGTGTTTTGCCTGGACTGTCGTAGGGCATTGGCTAGTAGTTTGCCACATTTACCTCCCTGTGTATAATAGGAGTGCCTGGTATGGAGGAGCTTTTTCTTGGCCTGGTGGTGCAGTAGTTGTGTCAGTTCTGTGCGTTTGGTTATGAGGGTGTTATAGGTTGATAGGGAACTATCCCGGGTATGAGTATGTTCAAGGACTCTGATTTCTCGTGTGAGCGTGTCTATTTTCTGTGTTCTCCTTTTTTTGAGAGTGGCCGCTATTGCTAGGAATTCTCCCCTTATGATGCATTTGTGCGCTTCCCAAGTGGTCATGGGGGAGATGGTTGGTAGCGTGTTTTCTTGGAAGTAGTTGGTAAGTGCAGTTGTCACACGAGTTGTGATTGTGGGGTCATTGAGGAGGAAATCGTTAAGTTTCCAATGAAAAGACGTCAGTGGGAGCGTGGGGATCTGTATGACTAGGGATAGAGGTGCATGGTCTGACCAGGTAATTGGACCGTAGGAGCAGGAGATGGCCAGATGCAAGTGATCTTGGGGAAGGAACATCATGTCTATCCTGGAGTATGAGCGTGAGGCTGAGGAGTAGTCTCTATCTTGTGGGTGTGTGGTTCTCCAGCAGTCAAATAGTCTAGCTTGGTCAAGGAGGTGTGTTATCTGTTTCCTTGCAGCATTTTGGTATTGTGTGGAGTGGGAGGTCGTGTCAAGGGCAGAGTCCAAGGACATATTCAGGTCACCACCCATGATCAACATGCCTTCCATAAAGGATTCGATTATATTAAGATACTTCTTGAGGGCTTTGCCTTGGTGTCGGTTGGGTAGGTATAGGTTAGCAAATGTAAGGACGGTCTGGCCTATCTGTCCCTTTACCAAGAGTAGCCTGCCCCCATCATCAGTTTTGTGAGCCTTGTAGGTGAAAGGAGTGTGTGCTGCAAAGAGTATGGCTACCCCCCTGGCCTTGGCGTGACTATAGTTACTAAAGAATCCTGTTGGGTATGTCCTGCTCTTGAGAGTGGGCGCTCTGTCCTTCTTAAAGTGAGTTTCCTGTAGGAAGACCACGTTAGCTCGTAGTTTGTGCATCTCTGTAAGAGCTATAGATCTTTTCTCGGGCGTATTAAGGCCTTTAACATTGAGTGTGACTAATTGTATGGTAGCCATCAGGTCTGGATACGTTTGTAGGTGTGCCAATGAGAGTGTCTGTGGGTGAGGGGGGGGATGTTTGGATGGGGGGGATTTGGTCACCTGGAGGGAGGAGCAAAAGGGGAAGGAAAGCAAAAGAAAAAGAGAAACAACAAGAGGAGAAAAATATAGAACAATTAACTTATATACAAGCGAAAAATCTATAGATAGATCGGAGTAGAAACTGTCCCCCGAGATTGCTAGGAGGCACCGGTTGAACACCGGGCGTCAGCCAGCAGTCTGAGGGGAGACCTCTGGTGTCGGGCCCAGAGTGGGACGTTGCCACCTGGGACTTTTGTGACACCGTGGTATAGGTCGTGTCGACCTAATACAATGCAAGTCGTCTAGTAATCATACGATAGTATGCAAAGAGAGATGAGGGACAGAGGTGGTCCCGGGCGACTGATGTCAGTCAATGACTCTCGTAGGAGATCAACGGGAGTAAGAGTCATCAACTGTCGTCGCCAGAGCACACACCCGTAAATACATTTCACAACATATCAGTTAGTTAGACATCTTAGATGAGGAGGCTATAAAAACAGTATAAACAGCGTTATTCTAGATAAACTTTTTTTTTTTTTTGTGGGTGATGCGTTAATGATATGTCTAAATTTCTGTTGGTGGGCCACTAAGAAAGATCCCGGTAATGTGCAGCATTTACCTGCCGCCAGCCTAGCCATTGGGTCTGCATAGTGAGAGGGAGAGGTGGAAGCCGTATATCAGGTCTGTATATTTGCCTGCTATGCCGCTGCCGGGGATGGTAAGTGTCGCGGGAAAATAAGCGAGATTACCCTGTTGAGTGTTATTCCTGTTGAGGTCGCGGAAATTGCGACAGCTGGCTGGCGTTATAGGGATTGGCATTTAAGACATTTTCGCTCTGTATCATACCCCAGGGGGGTTCATCCCTTAGCAACATGGGTTTAGCATTATATGGATACGGTCACCTGGTTCTTAAGAGAGTCCTGATAGCCCCAAGTGGAGATGGCTCAGAGGAGCGTTAACAAGTCTCTGGCAGCGTGTTAGAGATGGTCATCTCAGCATGTCCCTTGGTTGTTCGAGTTGGGCTTCCCTTAGCAGCTGGTGTCCCGGAGGTGGCAGCTGCTAGTGGATCATATAGCCTTGGCTGGTAGCAGGTCGTAGTGTGTGCGCAGGGTTGGAATCTTTTCAGTGTAGCGACGGGTCTTGGGTATCTGATCTTTTCTTCTTGGGCGTTTGTTGCCATCGGGGTCTCTGCGGTAGCTGAGGTGGAAGTGGTGTTTGCAGCGGTCCGTACCAGTCCATGATGTGTGGGTCTGTGAGGTTGAGGGCTTGTGTAAAGAGTGGTATGTCCGCATGGGAGTGTATCGTGTGCTGAGTGCCCTTATACGTGACACTCAGTGCCAGTGGGAATCCCCACCTGTATCTTAGGTTTCTGGATCTTAATTGGTCTGTAATTGGTCGCAAAATCCGTCTCGCTTGTAGTGTCAGCCATGAGAGGTCGGGGTAGATGGTTATTGGGGCATCATGAAATAGCATAGGTTGTGAGGTCTGTTTCAGCGTGTGCAGTATATCTTCCCTGCATGTGTGATAGTGAAGCCTGCAAATGACATCTCTAGGCTTGTCAGTCGCTATACCTCTGGGCTTCAGTGCCCTGTGTGCTCTATCTAGTAGGATGTGATGGTCTCTTGGCTTACCCAGAATTAAGTTGAATAGTTCATTCAGCGTCTGGTAGATATCTTCTTGTTCGTTTTCTGGGAGACCTCTGATCCTTAGATTGTTGCGGCGCCCCCTGTTGTCTAGATCATCCATGGACCTATGGAGCGTGGACAGGTAGGTGTTCTGGTGTTCCACTGCTGCCTGCAGGGAGTTGAGCTGTGTATGCATAGTATCTCTGTCATCTTCCAGGGTGCTCACTCTGTCAGCAACTTGGCGAATTTCAGAGTTAAATGCATCCATTTTGGCTTGGACTGAGGCCTCTAGCTGGGTCAGCATGCCTGCAATGTCCTGTTTGGAGGGCAGATTTCTGAGGATGTCCTTCAGGTCCCCGTCCGTCGGGGGGCCCGAAATTTCCGAGTCTGCTGGGCTGGAGGGGGACATACATAGAGGTGAGGAGTCTGCCGCCATATTGGGGCCTAGTGCGCCCGTATTACTATCCGCCCGGTCGCGGAAATACTTAGTAAAAGCGCTCGATTTACCCGATGGGGTTTTGCTGGAGGCTTGCTGGGAAGATGCCGCTCGTTTTGGGTGACCCATCCTTCGTTTTGTGGCCCGATCTGGTTGGGTGTGTGTCTGGTGCCGCCGGAGCTGATTTAGAACGCGGCCATGCACCAGCTCGGTCGGCTCCGCCCCCATTCTATGTTTCTATAATATCATCTCTGTGATATGCTTTACGGTTTTGAAACACTAATATTTGTGTTCATCGAAGTCTCCCAAGTAAAACAGTAGCCCCCATGTACAGGTTTTAAGCTGTCATAGAAAGTTACAGGGTTAAGTACAGTGCAAGCAAATTAAGATATCTGAACTTTTGGCCTGGGTTGTCAGGCAGGTCCCTCAAATTGCAATCAATAAAATTAATTATGTAAAAATATTACATAAATATGCACGTAGAATTTGAATATATATATATATATATATATATATATATATATATATATATATATATACACACACATTTTTATATATTTGAAGTCTACGTGTATATTTTTAAAAATTATTTATGTAATTATGAAAATGGATATATATATTTCATATTATTTTTATATATTTATACATAGATGTATGTAATTTAATTCCAAGTGAATTTTGAAATATATCAAAATACAGTTAGAATAAAATTACATATAAATAATTTTTTAAAATTAATTTTACATTTTATTTTATTGCATTTACTTATTTATATTTTGTAATATATATATATACACAATATATATATATATATACACACATGTGTAATTTAATTATAACTGTATTTTTATATTAATATAAAAATAGACTTAGTGACATTATATATACAAGATGCATATATATATATATATATATATATATATATATATATATCTATATCTATCTCATATTATTATTTTTATTTAATAAAATTTTTATTTTCCAGCAGCAGGGAGACTGCCTGACAGCACAGGCAGTCCCCCTGCAGGCAGATACTTGGACACCTATTGCAGCCATGTGACCGCTCTGTTAGAGCAATCACATGGCCCGCTGGGGGCCTAATTTCTTTGTGCTGTCAGGCAGTCCCCCCAGAACTGGAGCAACGCCGATCTCTGGCGGGGGATTCGGTAAGTAATTATGATGGTTCAGGACCGTCAGTCCTCAAGGGGGTGTTTCTAATGACGGTCCTGAACTGTCATCCGTCCTTAAGGGGTTAAATCATAATGATAACAGAAATCACTCAAATGGCCCTGATCAGACATTTGCATACCCTTGAATGTTTGGCCTTGTTACAGGCACACACAGGTTAAATGTGAATTAAATGTTAATTTCCCACACCTGTGGCCTTTTAAATTACAATTAGTGTATAAATAGTCTATGGTTTTGTTAGCTCTCACGTGGATGCACTGACCAGGCTAGATACTGAGCCATGGGGAGCAGAAAAGAACTGTCAAAAGACCTGCGTAACAAGGGAATTGAACTTTATAAAGATGGAACAAGATATAAGATAAGAGATCCAAAGTTTTGAAAATGCCAATCAGTACTGTTCAATCACTTAAGAAGTGGAACATTCAGAAATCTCTTGATACCAAGTCAAGGTCAGGTAGACGAAGAAAGATTTTAGCCACAACTTCCAGAAGATTTGTTCTGGATACAAAGAAAAACCCACAGGTAACCTCAGAAGAAATACAGGCTGCTCTTAAAAAAGACAGTGTGGTGCTTTTTTCAAGAAACACAGTACAACAAAAAAAAATTAGCTACATAGTTGAGTTTCCAGAAAGAAGCCTTTACTGCCTGGTTACAATATGCCCGACAACACTTTAACATGACTCACAGCTTCTGGGACACTGTAATTTGAAGTAACGAGACCAAAATAAAGCTTTATGGTCACAGCCATAAGCGCTATGTTTGGAGAAGGGTTAACAAGGCTTATAGTGAAAAAAAATACCATCTCCACTGTTAAGCACAGTGATGGCTCACTGATGTTTGGGGAAGGGAGGGTGAGCTCTAAAGACATGGGGAATCTTGTGAAAACTGATGGCAAGATGAATGCAGCATGCTGTCAGAAAATACTGGCAGCCAATTTGATTTCTTCTGCACGAAGGCTCAGACAACTATTACAAAAGTCTGCACGCTGTCATTGAGGCTAAAGGGGGCAATACACGGTATTAAAGGGATTCTCCAGTGCCAGGAAAACATGTTTTCCTGGCACTGCAGAACCCTACAGTGCCCCTCTCCCTCCCACCCCCTATCCCAAGTTGCTGAAGGGGTTAAAACCCCTTCAGTGACTTACCGGAGATCGGCGCTGGGGTCAGGCTCCGCCAACTCTACTCCCCTGCTGTCACGCGCATTACACCTCCCCATAGGAAAGCATTATTCAAGGCTTTCCTATGGGGATTTCAGCGATGCTGGAGGTCCTCACATAGCGTGAGTACGTCCAGCGTTGCTTAAAACACGTTTCGTGTTCTAAGAACACGGAAGTCCCTCTAATGGCTGTCTACAGCCACTAGAGGAGGACTTAACCCTGCAAGGTATATATTGTAGTTTATGAAAACTGCAATAATTAAACTTGCAGGGTTAAGGGTAGTGGGAGTTGGCACCCAGACCACTCCAATGGGCAGAAGTGGTCTGGGTGCCTGGAGTATTCCTTTAAGAACTAAGGGTATGCAGACTTTTGAACAGGGGTCATTTAATTTTTTTCTTTTTTGCAATGTTTTGTTTTATGATTTTGCCATTCTATTATAACCTACAGTTGACTATGAATACCATAAGAAATAAAATAAATGTGTTTTACATAGAAACATAGAATGCGACGGCAGATAAGAACCATTCGGCCCATCTAGTCTGCCTGATTTTCTAAATACTTTCATTAGTCCCTAGCCTTATCTTATAGTTAGGATAGCCTTATGCCTATCCCACGCATGCTTAAACTCCTTTACTGTGTTAACCTCTACCACTTCAGCTGGAAGTTTATTCCATGCATCCACTACCCTCTCAGTAAAGTAATACTTCCTGATATTATTTTTAAACCTTTGTTCCTCTAATTTAAGACTATGTCCTCTTGTTGTGGTAGTTTTTCTTCTTTTAAATATAGTCTCCTCCTTTACTGTGTTGATTCCTTTATATATTTAAATGTTTCTATCATATCCCCCCTGTCTCGTCTTTCCTCCAAGCTATACATGTTAAGATCCTTTAACCTTTCCTGGTAAGTTTTATCCCGCAATCCATGAACCAGTTTAGTAGCCCTTCTCTGGACCCTCTCTAAGGTATCAATATCCTTCTGAAGATACGGTCTCCAGTACTGTGTACAATACTCCAAGTGAGGTCTCACCAGTGTTCTGTACAATGGCATGAGCACTTCCATCTTTCTACT